GTTTCCTACAATCGAGTCATCCAATAGCTGTTTTTGTTGTTTTGAACTAACATTGTCTAAATTTATTGCGGTTCTATCAAGTGTTGATTCACTAGTCTTACTAAATTCGTCTTCATCACCATCATCAGTAATAGACATAGCGGATTCAAATGTAGAATCAAGCGGATGTAATGTTGAATTTAAGTCATTAACAGTACTATTGAAATATCGAGATTTATAGGGAGTGTCAGCTGTTGTTTTTGACTTGAAAACTTTATCGAACGTAATTTTCTTCTCCTTGTTCGTTTCCTGTTCAGTATTATCGTTAGTTTTATCAATAGCTACCTCCACAAGTTTCTTCAATGGATCAACCATAGGTTTAAAAGTTTCATTCAATGTATTTTCTAAATCAGCTTTGTCACGTTTTATTAGTTGATACTTACGTCTGATGGCATCACGAGCCTCAGATAATTGCTCGAGCATCTTCTTTTCTTTTTCAAAATTAGCCATGTTGACGCTTGCAATTTCTAAAGTTAAATAATCTTCATTCGTTCACTCCGTTATATTTATAGCAAAAGAATCGAATCCTTTTATATACCGTCCATGATTGATTGGTCTATCTCTATCAATAACTATAAATCCATGATTATCGTCTCTCCAACATTTTGAACAAATTGCTTTAAACTTCTCAAAAGTCATATCTGAGTTATAAATATGTTCATGATCACATAAATATAACACATATTTATAACACATGATCGTTATAAATATGTTTAATATTCACGTCATCTTGTCGAAACAAAACTAGTAAATTCACATTATCTCGAATGAGATGCTTCGGTATGCGAGCGTATGATTGACATAGATAGAAACTATCTACCTTTTTATGTCTTCCCATACAGAAGAATGCTCTCACGTTGTCCTGCTTTTCAGTGGCTATATCGTCAAAAATCATGATGGAATTTGGATTAGCTTTATCCGGTGAAACAACTGCCTCATGCTCGCTGAATGCATAATACTGTATACCATCAATCGGTTCCAATAAATCTTTTAAAAACTTATACTTTGGTTGATTGAGGGACTTTGAATAAACATAAATGTTTTCAAATCTAAGTCCATTAGGATGTGTGATTAGTGTTAGCAAACAGTTAGTTTTCCTACAGTTACTAGGACCACAGAAAACTGCTCGTATACTATCAGGCAGTAGTTCACCATGTCTTTTTTCTCGTTTTTCCGTCTCAACCACATTATCAAAATTTATGACTTGCAACTTAAGTGGTTGCTCTTTGAAGTCCATATTGTTTTCTAATCACCGATTGAAGGACGAATGAGACTACTAACTATAAAAAGACTGTTTATATATTTTTAGTTTCATTAAGAATTTGTCTTCTGATGAGGTATGATCATTTGTTACAAAAGAAAGACTGGTGGTGCTGGCTTAGTGAATAAGATCATTAATAACTTACCATTCGAAGCTCATTTGCCTGGTTATCAGTATTGCGGACCGGGAACTAAATTGAAAAAACGACTTGCTCGTGGTGATCCTGGAAAAAATCCGCTAGACGCTGCTTGTAAAGATCACGATATTGCTTATTCTCAAAATCGAGAAAACATTGAGGCGAGAAACGAAGCCGACAAAATTCTAGCTAAACAAGCCTGGGATTGAGTGCAAGCGAAAGATAGTAGTTTTGGTGAGAAAGTTGCTGCATTTGCTGTAGCCAACATAATGAAAGTTAAAAGTAAACTTGGTATGGGTGTTAAAATTTTAAAACGAGGAAAGAAACGAGGTAAGGGATTAAAAAATCGCCAACAACAACGACAGTGACGAAAGACACATGTAAAAAGTAAAAATCTATCAATTGCATTGAAAAAAATTATTAACGCTGCCTCCAGAAGTATTGTACCTAGTAATAAATCACTCTTTGTCATTCGTTCGGCTAGAAAAGGCGCTAAAGAAGCTGTGAAGAAGGCTGGAAGAAGAAGAAAAATAAATATTCCTCGTATTCTACCAATTCCTAGTAAAGTGGGTGGAGCTCTTCCTTTTTTAATTCCATTATTTGCCGCTTTGAGCGCCACTGGAGCTTTAGCTGGAGGAGCTGCTTCAATAGCAAAAGCCGTTAACAGTGCTAAGGCCGCTCAAAATGAATTGAAAGAAGCTGATAGACACAATAAAACTATGGAAGCTATTGCTATTGGTAAAGGACTTTATTTGAAACCACATCGTAAAGGTTATGGTCTTCATCTGAAACCATATTCAAGTGGAAAAGGTTTAAAAAAAAAAAGCTCGAAATAACTTTACCTAATCGAGCACTGACAGATCATGATATAAGAAAATATGCTAAAATACTAAAAATTGCAAATTTTCGAGGTGTTTTTATGCGTGATGCTCTACCGACCGATGGGCCTCGATATCAAGAGACAGCTATTGTAAATTTGGATAATAAACGGGTGCCAGGTACTCATTGGGTAGCATATAAAAAGAAAGGCGATGAGGTTATGTATTTTGATAGTTTTGGTAATCTACAGCCGCCTATAGATCTATTGCTTTATCTCAAAGTTAATAGAATCATGTATAATTATATTAGATATCAAGATTTTAATACATATAATTGCGGCCATCTTTGTCTCAAATTTCTTTTAAACAAACTATAGAAAAGACGACTAGTATATAAAATACTCATGCAAAGAATGACTGTCATTTGATTTGAATCTGTCATGGAGAATACACTAACATTGAGTCTCTCGGGAACATCATCCGTACTCGAATCATATTATTTTCCACCGATCGAATTGATAGCAAACAAAAAATACGTTCTTGGTCTAGTTGAGCTATTGACATTTAATTCAATACCAAACATTGACGTTGGTTGTAATAAATTTTACATTGAAGGTCAAGAAGCTATCACTTTACCGACTGGTAGCTACGAAATAGAAGATATTGAAAACTTTCTCATAGACGAATTAGCACCTAAAGGTATATCGTTTAGCCTAAAACCAAGTAATAATACTTTACGTAGTGTCATTCGGTGCAGTCAAAAAATACATTTTGAACCAGAAGATTCTATTGGATCAATTTTAGGCTTCACTAAACGCACGCTCGTTGAAAACGAAACACATAGTTCTGACTTACCCGTCACTATATTCAAAGTCAATGCTTTACGTGTAGAGTGTAATATTACTACAGGCTCTTACATAAACGATCGCAAAGTACATACTATACATGAATTTTTCCCAGCAGTCCCACCTGGATATAAGATTATAGAAGTTCCCTCTCACGTCATTTACCTTCCAGTCACTGTGAGGAGCATTGATCATTCTCAAATTCGTATAGTTGATCAAGACGGAAATCTAGTTAATTTTCGAGGAGAAGTCATCACAGTGCGAGTGCATATAAAGACCATATCTTAGTAATGGGTATCATTTACAATATAAAGAGCGGCTGAGGCTATATTAAAAGACAAAAATGTCGAACAGCAATCAGTCAACAGCGAGCTATCAGACTGCTCACACCTCAGAACATTCAATTCCTGAAAAGCTTGAGACTAGAAGTCGTCGAAAATCGTGGAAGAAAATATTGTGCATATTAGGGTGTTGTATAAAACAACAACAACAATATGGGGGGAATTCTAGACATTCATTCAGCTGTCGCTTTCGATGAGTCTATAGCTCATTATGAAGTTCATGCGCATCAGCCTTATTCATTATCATATTTCAATAATAGCGATGAAATTCATATAGCAATTCAACATCAAGATTTATCTCTGCTTCCATCGCGCAGTATGATTCATATTTGTGTTAGGTTAACCAAGCCGGACGGTACTACGCCAGTGGAGAACACTTTATTAGTCAACAACGCCCTCTGTCATTTGTTCGAGGAAATACGATATGAAATAAATGCTATTGAAATTGATAAAGTGAAAAATGTAGGCTTAACAACTCTCATGAAAAATTGGCTTTCACTCAATCCATGTCAGAGCTCTATAAAATGCCGGATGGAATGGTGATAACAATGAAGTTTTAATATGTAACGCTCAAGGTTTTTTTGATGTGACTATACCTCTCAGTATGTTGAAGGGCTTTGCTGAAGATTATCGGAAAATTGTAGTCAATGTCAAGCATGAACTTATTCTGACAAGATCAAGAGATAATTTGAATGCTATTTTGTCTGCTCCAATTGGGAATCCTGCTGCTTCAGAAAAAACAAAAATTACTTTAACTAAGGTTGAATGGCTGATGCCATATGTGTTGGTCGCAGACAAAGAAAAAATCAAATTACTCAATCAGATCGGACGAGATCGTGCAATTACAATGAGTTATCGTACTTGGGAAATGTATGAGTATCCAAAATTACCACGTACATCAAAGCATGTTTGGAGTGTTAAGACTTCCAATCAATTGGAAAAGCCTCGCTTTGTTATTTTAGCTTTTCAAACTAAACGTAAAAGTTCAGCGAGTGTTAATTCTAGTAATTTTGATCATTGTAATATTAGTAATGTTAAGCTATTCCTCAATTCACAATGCTATCCGTATAGAAATCTCAATTTGAATATCAATCAAAATCAGTATGCTGTTCTCTACGATATGTATGTGGGGACACCTCCGTCCCTTTCTCTCGACGCCTCGCGGCAGCACCGTCGCAAACAGCGACTCGAGCCCCGGAGTTGGCTCGCGGCTTCAGTTAAGCAAGATGGCTGCAGAGCGCGAATGCCAATCTCTGGTTACTAGCTTACTAGCGTGATTAACCTAAGTGCCTTGTACCGGATGTAATAAATATATTGTTGAGATTGAACCGAGCTAGTTGATATCGTCATTTCCACCTTACACTATAACTACAGTGGTGACCCCGACGTGATTGTGGTGGATTCTTATTCGGCAACGTGGCCGAAGAAGTAGCCGGTTCGCAGCCATCCACGCCGCCATTCTCCACACCTTCGTCAACCCCTGAGAGAAGTCGGCGTGAAGCGCTTCCCCCATTGAGACCTTCCCTCTGTACTACGGAGAAGAAAAAGGGAACTGAGAGCATGGCTGGTGGGGACAACGCCAGCGAGGGCGGAAACAACGGCCAACCGGGCGACCCACCGCCGCCGCCTCTGCAACAAGTGGCCCAGAGCATGGCCGTCGTGGAAACGGTGCATAACTGCAAGATACCGCCGTTCTGGAAGTCGTCACCAGAGGCGTGGTTTTACCAGGTGGAATCCGCGTTCAGCTGCAATCAAGTTCGTGCCGACGGCACGCGCTACAACCTCGTCGTGGCCGCCCTGGACAGCGAGGTCGTCGAGCAGCTACTCGACGTTTTGCGCGCCGCGCCGGACACGGGCAAGTACGCATACCTAAAAACGCATATACTGTCACGTTTTTCCGACACACAGGAAAAGCGCCTGCGCACCCTCTTCAACAAGCTGGACGTGGGTAATCGTACTCCCTCACAGCTGTTGCGTCATATGCGCGCCCTTGCTGGAAACAACGTGGGCGACGAGGTGCTCAAGGTCAGGTGGCTGGACTACCTTCCGGTCTCCACACAGAAAATCCTGCGAGTGCTTAAGGACGCCTCGCTCGACGACCTGGCAGAAGCAGCGGATCAGATGGCAGACGTGCTGCCCCAGGTGTCGGCCCTCGGGCCTGGCAGAGGCTCGCGCGGCGCTTCGCCCCACCGTGGCGCATCGTCACATCGTGGTGCGTCGCCTCATCGAGAAGCAGCTGCCTCCGCACTGGCAACCGAGATAGCGGGCATGCGCGCCTGCATGTCCCAGCTACTGGCAACGATGCAGCAGCTGCTGGACGCGATGAAGACTCATGACAACGACCAGCCACGGTCAGGACGGCGTCGCAGCAGAGGCCACAGCAACACTCGTTCGAAGTCACCGACGCCTGGATCAAGCGAGTACTGTTATTATTATTACCGCTTTGGCATGGATGCTCAGAAGTGTCAGCAGCCCTGCACCTGGAAGGGGCCTGCGGGAAACTAGGGGCGCTGCCGTCTGTCCAGACGACACACGGCAGCGAATTGCCTAAGGAAAACCGCCTCCACGTCCTCGACAAGAACTCCGGCTTGAATTTTCTTGTCGACTCCGGATCAGTCGTCTCCCTGCTGCCACGCTCAGCGGTGCGCCGGCTCTTGACCAAGGAATCCCTGCAACTCACAGTTGCCAACATGTCGCCGATTGCGACGTTTGGCCGCTGCATGCTAACCCTCAACCTAGGGCTCAGGAGGGACTACACCTGGCCATTCATAATAGCGGACGTTCAAGGAGCCATCCTGGGAGCCGACTTCCTGGCGCACGCAGGCCTCCTAGTAGACATGCAGCGCATGCAACTGATTGACTCGACTACCACCCTCTGTGTGTCGGCTCAAGTGCGAGCGGTACACGTTCACACCGTAGCCTTGCTGAGCAGTCCTCAACAAGACGAACTCGACCTCGGCGCCAGAAAGCAGTATGACCAGCTGCTGTCCGAGTTCGCGGACATCACCAAACCAAGGAAGGCGCGAGCCACGCTGCACGGAGCGCCCGTGAGCCACCGAATCCACGTGGAGGGACCGCCAATCTCTGAACGTCCTCGCAGACTGCATGGCGAGCGCCTGCTAGCAGCCAAGTCTATCTTCAAGGACCTCCTGGACCGAGGCATCGTGCGTCCCTCGGCTAGTCAGTGGTCCAGCCCGCTCCATTTGGTCCCCAAGGTAGATGGTTCCTTTCGTGCAACAGGCGACTACCGACGCCTTAACGCGAGTACTCTGCCAGACCGCTACCCGGTTCCCGTAATCGAGGACATGCTGCACAACTGTCACGGTGGCAAGGTTTTCTCGACGATAGATTTGGAGCGAGCATTCTACCAGATACCCATGGCCGAGGAAGACATTGAGAAGACGGCCGTGGCCACGCCCTTCTTCGGCCTGCTGGAGTATCTGTGCTTACCGCTGGGCTTAAGAAATACCACCCAGACCTTCCAGCGGTTCATGGATTCCTTGCTGCGAGACTTGCCCTTCGCCCAGCCTTACATCGACGATGTAGTCGTCGTTTCCAGGGACCACGAGGAGCACTTGCTGCATCTACGCAAGCTCTTCGAGGCTCTCCGAGCTGCCGGACTCTCGATCAAACTCAGCAAGTGCGACTTCGGCAAGTCAGAGGTCAACTTTCTAGGCTACACCCTCACGCCAGAAGGGTTCCGGCCCCCAGAGCACAAGAAATCAGATATTGAGAAATTTCCTAGGCCAAAGGACACCCAGGAGTTGCGCAGGTTCCTGGGGATGCTCAACTACTATCGACGCTGCATTCGCAACACTGCACACCTACTGGCTCCGCTGGACAATCTACTCCAGGGGCCACCAAAGCGCAAGCGTGCGAAGCTGTCCTGGAATGCGGAAGCTGAAGAAGCCTTCATACGAAGCAAGCAGGCCCTGCGTGACGCCACTGTGTCCTCCTACCTGTCGCCGAAGGCGCCACTAGCCCTCTCAACGGATGCATCGGATGTGGCAATAGGTGCTGTCCTGGAGCAGCACGTGGACTCCGTGTGGCGGCCGGTTTCATACTTCTCCAAGAAGCTCACGGAGACAGAACGCAGGAACAGCACTTACGATCGTGAGTTGCTCGCTGCGTACCTTGCCGTCAAGCATTTCCGTCGTTTCTTGGAGGGTCGCAGTTTCCTACTCAAGACGGATCATAAACCGCTCGTATTCGCTGGCAAGCAGGCGTCAGACAAGGCCTCGCCGCGGCAACAGAGGCATTTAGACTACATCCTGCAATTTAACGTCGAACTGCTTCACGTCAAGGGCGAGGACAATGTTGTCGCCGATGCCCTCTCCAGGATATGCACCATCGAGATGCCATCCGGACTCCGAGCCCGCGACATTGAAGTCGAGGAGCTTCCAAACCCGCTGAGCTCCGGTGCCTTGAACCTGCAATTCCTGCACGTCGATGACGCGGACATAGCGTGCAACATTCAGGGCAGTGTGGTCAGGCCCTACTTGCCCCAGTCACTCCGACATCAAGCCTTTGATGTCCTCCACTCGCCAGCTCACCCGAGCGCTCGTGCCACTGTAAGACTATTGTCGGACAAGTTCGCCTGGCCTGGCATCAGGAAAGATGCGCACAAGTGGGCCCGCGCTTGTCAGAGTTGCCAACGGTCGAAGGTCAGCAGGCACAACCGTGCCGCCCTGAAACCCTTCGATGCTCCGAGCAACAGGTTCGAGCATATACACACGGACATCATCACCTTGCCAAGAGTTGGTGACCTCCGTTACTGCCTCACAGTCATAGACAGATTTACCAGATGGCCAGTGGCCATCCCTATGGCCGACATCACTGCTGACACTGTGACCCAGGCCCTCACACAGCACTGGATCGCGAACTTTGGCTGCCCGTTGACCATCACCTCGGACCAGGGAGGCCAGTTCGAGGCCAGACTTTTCACGGCCCTTGCTCGCATAACGGAAGCAAAGCATATTCACACGACTCCACACCATCCCCAATCCAATGGATTAGTCGAGCGTCTCCACAGGACGCTGAAAACTGCCCTCATGTGCGAATCGCAAGTTCCCTGGCCAGAGCGCCTGCCCATTACGCTTCTAGGCCTCCGTGCCTGCTTTAAGGAGGACCTCCAAGCTTCGCCGGCTGAAATGCTGTTTGGTACCACATTGCGTTTACCGGGAGAGTTCTTCGTCTCCAACTCCATTCCAGCTGAGCCACACGAATTCGTCGACAAGCTCAGGAGCCTGATGCAGACCATCCGAGCAGTCCCAGCCTCTCATCACGCCAAGTATCGTGCCTTCTTCCACAAAGCCATGGATACCTGCTCTCACGTTTTCCTCAGAGTAGACAGTGTGCGCAAACCTCTTCAGCCGCCCTACACAGGCCTGCACAAAATCTGCAGGCGTGTGAGTGACAAAGTTTACGTCATTCTTGTTAACGGCACAGAGAAGTCAGTCTCCACGGACGGCCTCAAGCCAGCCTTTTTGGACGAAGTCGAAGACTCCACCTCCACCCCCACCCCGTGCTCTGGAGCTCAATCGGCGCAGGCAGCGCAAGGGGACCAGCCAGCTGATTCACCAGCAGCCTTTCAGTCAACCGACTCATCGACGGCCTCGCAGCCAGCGCGGCATGCCACGCCGCAGGAGGATCGACGAGCAACATCATCTCACGAGGGCCAGTTGACAGCTCCAGCGGATCCACCATACCTGGACTCGCAGAGCACCAAGACAACCCCGGCGATCTTACGCAAGCGGGTATCGTTCCCTTCGCAACCCCCGAAGGTCTCTAAAGGGGGAGTACCTGTGGGGACACCTCCGTCCCTTTCTCTCGACGCCTCGCGGCAGCACCGTCGCAAACAGCGACTCGAGCCCCGGAATTGGCTCGCGGCTTCAGTTAAGCAAGATGGCTGCAGAGCGCGAATGCCAATCTCTGGTTACTAGCTTACTAGCGTGATTAACCTAAGTACCTTGTACCGGATGTAATAAATATATTGTTGAGATTGAACCGAGCTAGTTGATATCGTCATTTCCACCTTACACTATAACTACATGTATACTAATTTTCAAAACGCTTATTATGGTAAAGAAAACGAGCCGTTACTCAATAAAAAAAATTTCATTAATAAAGTGCCGCTAATAGTTATAGACTGCTCCAAACAAAATGAAACATTAAAAAGCGCGCCAGTCGATGTTCGCCTAGAATTTGAAACTCGGACTGATTTTCCTGAAGATACTGCAGCCTACTGCTTAATATTACACGATCGTATTGTACAATATAACCCGATTAGTGGTGATGTTAAAAAATTAGTTTGAAATTAACAAGACATTATGTAATCAATGTATACAATGCTTTTCAATAAAAAAGAAAATAAATTATATATATTGTTGGAATTTAATAAAAACTACCTATAACCATACTATATAGTGTCTATGACGCCCTATACTTTCGATTGGCGAGGTATGGTGACTATGGCGCCCTCTACTTTCGAATAGTAAGGTATAGGTTTTATATAGAACAAACACGTGCCTCTACTCTCATAACGGTTTTGGGAACTAGTAGAGTTCACATTAACTTCAGCATCTTTTCAAATGGATTTCGTAATAGATTTTCAAGGCTTTCAAAGTTTAAACGAGACTTTTGTTTGTAAAGAACTCGCATATCTACCATTAGATATAGATACTGTTCCAACTGTGTTTTTCTTCGAACCACCATATCATTGGTTTCAACTTCCTATCAAGTATCGAAAAGTGAATCATTTCTTAGAAACGTGTCATCATGGTTTATTATGGAGATCCGGTCTTATTCCATATAAAAATTTAGCACGTGTACTAAACAATCATTTAAATAATTCTAGAAATATTTATGTAAAAGGATTAACAAAGAAACAATGGTTACAAAAAATTTTACCTGAAAAGTAAGTATTTTTATTTATTTATTTTTTTGTTAGAAATTAAGATCAATATTAATTAAAAATTTTTTTCCTTTTTTAGAAAAATTTTAGAACTTGAAAGCGAGATGAGATGTCCGCCAATGAGCGCATTACCTTACCCATTAGAAACAATATGTACATATCATTATAATAAACCAGCTAACTTTGTATGTGCCGTTACAAATGCACAAAGATTGTTTTCATGGATAAAAGCTAGACTGAAGCAATCTGAAATGGAAGGTATTGATGAAGTGCACAATATTACATATAAAAATTCAATTCAATATTTCAATATAGCGATGTCAACTACTGAAAATAAAGATTATAGACAGACTGTATTATATTCAATGTATAGTTGAATGAACAATAAATTAATAATTAAACGAAAATTCTATAAGTTTTATTAATTAATATTCGAATAAAATCAACTGTGAGGTTGAAAGGTTCTCGAAATCTAATGAAAATACTATAGCGCTTGCTTAGAGAAAGAGAGAGAGAGAGAAGCATATAGCTTACCAAGCTATATGCTACCCTCTCTCCAAGGGCCCACATGTCCTACTATCGAAGGAGAGCG